GAAAGGGACGATCCTAATGACTCTCCACCCCTCGAGCAAAGTACACTCGAACCCTCCAAGTGGCCCAGGCCTTATAAAGTTGGGAAGGGTGGAAACGCTGAGGTAAAACCGCCCCGGGTAACGCCGCCCCTAGACTGAATAGTCTTTGAGAAGGTCAGGCATTCAACGCCAGGCTCGCGGCCTTGGAGGGAGGTGCCGACACTCCTCTCCCCCGGATGACCATGTGCCACTAATCACTGATCACTAGGTCCTTCTCGAAAGGTTTGTTATACGTGCGATGGAGACAGACGACCGTAGACGAGGACGTACGTCGACGGTCTAACGTCATTGGCCAAGACGCGAAGAGTGAGATAGACACAAGTGCCGTAGATGTCTCGCGATCGCGACAACACCGCGAAAAGTCGGGCCTACCACCCAGGCACCTTCTTTCGTGTAACAGACCATAATCCCTATAAGCCTCCGGCGACCGACGCTCGGGTTACAATGTAACACACAGAACGTATCACCCATGAATAAAAATTTAAACTTTTACTCCTTTCCGTGTACTTTCTTAAAAATGTTATGAATAAATGTAGGAGATTCTCCTGATGAAAATAAGTCCAAACATGACATAAATCAGACTATATTTAATAACATACAATTCGTATCGCGACATAACGTATGAATAAAAGTGGTTTACGCTTCATTTCCCTATTCAGAGACACGCAAAAATGTTGAAAAACATTGCACATGTTTTAAATACCGGGGCACCTGTTACAGAATTTTCTCCAATTTTTCGGTTAAAAATTCTAGGTAGAAGAAATTAAGAACTCTAAAAAATAATAAAAATGCGAATTTATTAATACAATTAATTATAATTAAACATGGTAAAGCACATAGAGTAACATTGTAGACCAATATACTGTAAAAAACATAACATAATACCCAGCCAAGCAGTGCATTAATACATTGATCATTAAGATATAAACATAATACAATTATTTTAATTCAAGGATATGCCAAGGATAATATAAGAAGCAAAGATAAGAAATTAATTAATACTAAATACGGTATAGAAGCAAGTGTACGGTAAAATTCATAAATAATATGATGCTATCTACATGACATTAAGACATACCGGGATTTATGGGATCCGGATATCCGGATTTATTGGTATCCGAGTACTCGGATATCCGAAAATCCGAGCAATAGTAAGAGTCCTACTCCAAACTGTTGCAAACTAGAAATGTCATGTTTTGATATCCCTTCTAGAAAGTCGATTCTTTTTCTTTAGAAAGTCAAAATTTACTCGTATTGGAATGAATAGAAAAAATAATCTGTTTCGAATAATAAATAATTATTATCTAGATAAAATATTCGACTGCCATGAATTTATTTCGATTATTATTTTGAATAAATATTTATACAAAACAATTCGAATAATGCTCAAACCTGCAATTGTTCTTCGTTATAAAAATCTACAAAATTGATTCATGTATGAACGGGACACGGGGGCTCATTCCACGCGAAGTCGGACACATTTTGGAGTAACATTTCGGATTTTCTTGACACATATTCTTTATGTTGAAACATTATAGGTCGTTAAGAGTGCGAATATTTTTGCGACGTCAAATCTTGACATTATTTTGTTTGTTGTTTATTATACAAAAAAACTATGTGCAATAAATAAATAAAATGTTTCTACTAACTATAATTAGTACTTTATTATATTACAAGACAATAAATTCAGTAATACTATTACAAACAATCAAAACGAACAATAATTTCTCAAATAACATGGTGTCCGAATATTAATACAAGTCACTGTATAAATGGGCCTTAATCGATTAATGCCGTTCGAGCCAGCTCAAGACACCGATGTTACCGAGCCGGCTCAAGTAGCGATGGCGACTCGCGAGCCAAACCGATTCTACAGAGCTGAAAAGAATCCACCCAGCTATACGAGCACTAGATCCACGACAGGAACTGCGGGCCTCGGCGATTCGAGATGTTATCTAAAAAGGACAATAGGGGTATAAGATAACATCTCTACACGTCGAGGTTTGACTTGACAGAGCTTCGGGCTTCGAGTCTCCGCTGAGCTCATAAAACTGTCATCCGAGCTGGCTTGAGCGCTCGAGCCGAGCTGGAAAAACCATTGGCTCGAGCAGCTCGACTCGATTACACCCGTCACTAATTACCGGGCACGACGGAATCAACGTGTTAAGAGACACTGTGTGAGTGACGACAATTTTAACGCTCGACGGCAAATATCGTGCAGGAATTTAATAACACACACGCGTGCAGAAGCGCGACCGTGGAATGATAATTGAACGAGTTAATTAGAGGCGACGCAAGGCACGCGAGCTGCGCATGCCGGGAATAATTTCGAAATATCCATCGTTGTCATTCCGTATCGCCCTTAAAGCACAAGATAAAATTCCGTGTACGAAAAACAACCTGTACATTTAATGTTCATTAGTGTTCAACAGCTTCCACACGATCCTTTTAAACTTGAGAGACTGCCCCTCCGAAAATTTTATTAGCTTTGTAACGAACCAGAAATGGTCTTGTTTCTTGGTATATATCAACAAATTTTTAATTTAATTATTCTTGCCTGTAAAAGTGTTTTTAAATGGTAAATGCTTACAAAATAGGTTCGAATATTATTATTCTATTTTAAT